GCACAGATGGGCAATGAGTATGATGCCATTGTCCATGAAACAGTCGTCCCAAGTATTGGTGGTGTCGAATGCTGCCCAATTCCTGGCTTGCGGCTAGCTTTCTCGATGTGGAAGACCGCTGGGTGCTAGGCACTGAGACGAGCCATGTTCTGTACGCGGTTTTGGGATGTAATGATGGTAAAGCGGCCGACAGTGTCGTCGGCACCCCAGCGCAGCCCAACTTCGGCTGCTCACGAACTGGTGGGATGGATTTCAACCTTTGGCTTCGTCGTTGAGCTTACCTTCCTCCCTCGAGCACTCTACCGCAACCACCAGTTCTTCCATTCCCTTTCTTTCATCCTTGACTTTCCCACTGTCTTCAAATCACCCATGACCCTCATCCTTCTGCTACCCCTAGAGACTCCCGCTCTATTCATCTCTCTTCCTATCTTCGGCTGCTTTCAGCCTTTCCGCTGCAAGCAATTCAAATCACCACACTCGAACAAATAATCCACTTGCTAGAAATTTCCAATTATCATTCAACACCGTGGACTACTTGAGCTTTTACGGGCAATTCAACTTCTGATTTTGAAGATGTCGCCTTTTGTCAAAATACCTATCCGCTCACCACCTCTCAACCATGCCCCCATCACTCCCCTTGCAGAGCAACAACGTCCTGGCATTTCTCCTAGTTCCGAAAACTCTTATGCGTATTCGCACCCAGCAACGCCTACGTCGCCATCAATCGTCTATCCCGTCGGCTCTCCAGGAAATTCCTTGGCTGGGGAAAATACCCAAGCCGACTTTCCAAACAACCCAAATGTTGCCCGCCAGTGCGGTCATGGATACTTAGACGATGGCGAGATGACGCCCAAACAACGTGAGTCGTAACCATCTCGTGCACGACTCGTCTAATAGTTGCTCAGGGACAGAGGTCGAAAAGGCGGCCATTAAGGAGCTGGGAGGCCTGTACTGCGACTGCGGGAAGAAATTCAGAGGAAAATATGCAAAGACTAACTTGACCCGACATGTTCGAGAGCAAGGCACTCGCGTTCGATGTGCCTATTGTACTAGCGAGTTTGCTCGCCCCGGAAATCTACACTGGCACTTACTCGAAAAACACCCTTCGCAAGTCTGCATGCATTGCGGCTCAGTTCCCTATCCCAAGCAGACACCCCCTCAACGTTTCAAATGCCCGAAATGCCCACGAACTTTCTCAACACTGGATGATTTATATCGACACTTGGACACGAGACATCGCTGAGATGGGCAAGTTTGAGATTGGATATTCTTGAGACTGGACTTCAGATATTGGGTTTCTTGTAGAGTTGATCGGCTTGAGGCGTTTGAAAGATTTGCTTTTCCCATCAACGCCTTATTCCAATCCGGACGATGGATGAAAGCGATGATATGAGATGGGCCAAACAGATACTGGCCAAAATATAATATGTGTCACCAATCCTTCAATGGTCGTCCACTCAATCCCTTAGCCTCTCGTGCAAGATTTACAAACTTCCTATTCCCCTCTTTTGCTCTCCACATTCAACGTACCTCCATACTACCTCTCCGACCCAAAGTAGTTTCGCCCTGGCCACATTAGACAAGAATCAGTTCCTTTGAGACTGCCAATGGGCTACCTATGTACAAAATCGACCATGAAAGATGAAACAAGCATACATGGTACCCTACTAGAGCGACAGACTGTGCTCTGTCTACGAGGGATAGCAATAGAACATAGAGATGTGAAAAGCAAAACATGCAAGCCCTGAAGAACAAGAAGATGCAGACCTACATCCAAAGTCGCAACGGTTGGGAACCGCCAAAGGGAAGGCCCATTGGCTTGGGTGATTGGACTACCTACATAGGTGTTAACGGCCTGAGGCCACCGTTACACAGGCCCTAGAGAAGGCGCCCGTAATTTGAAGCCCGGGTATACAGCAGGCCTAGAAAATAGAGATGGAAAGCCTACGAGAGCCTAATCAGAGACCTACTGCAGGTAGGCTGGGTTGGATAGTGAGAGTAGGTAAGTGGCCTTCGCCGTCCAGAGCTGGGCGGGTGTGGGCAGGAGCGAGCGAAGGAAAGGGAGGAAGGGCAGGGCGATGTTGGTCGTCGGTGACGCAGTACACGGAAGACGGGGTGGCGAAATCTCGAAGCGTAGTGGTAGGTGGTAGTGAATTGGTTCCCGACATGAGCCAATACCGCCTACGTACCTAGTTCCTCTCCATGGCCCATGGGAGTGAATTTCCATATCCGGTAACTGAAAGCTCTCTGAAGGGCCTGGGAAGAAGGGGCAAGAAAACTCCTCCTCGTAGGTAGGGCACACAACTACCGTCAAACTACAAAGTGAGCTGGCCAGTTATGTTCGTACAGGGTTTTAATAATAGATACTAACTAACCGGGTGGGTAGTAAAGAGAGGTGAGAAGCATGTGTGCTCCACAACAGCAGAAGCTCTCCGACAGAAAAAAAAAAAAAGGAAAGTGTGGAACACGACACACAACTAGCGATTGGTGCGTGTTGAAGAAGAAGCAATCCTGGTGACGAGGACACAGTGCATGTACTTGTTACTGGTAGGTAGTTAGTTTGGGCTGGCCGAGGTGAAAGACGGCCGAGGAGCCTCCCTTGCCCCCGCGTGACACTGCGAGCTAGCCTTGCCGATAAGTTTCGTTTGTGTCTGGAAACACCATGTCGGCGAGCGGGCAAGCGAGCGCAAGGTGACTGATTGAGTGTGATCAGGCCGATATGACTTCCTTTTCCAGACGGAGGGGGCTTCTCACATGCACGCGCAGGAGAAAGGGCGCACAAAGAGACAGAGACACCACAGATGAAGTTCAAAGTTGTTGATGTCAGGCGACCAATAAGATTGATGCAACACGGGCCTGGCCCAGTCCCAGTCCGCTAGCCTGGGACTTAGCTAGATCCATTTGGGCCTGATCCAAGAAGCTAGCCTAGAACGGAATGGGTTAAGTATTGGGGGGCCCACATATTTCCGTCTTCCGTCTTCCGTCTTCCGTCTGGCATCAATGGGCGGGCAGATTTCTGGTTTCAAGTTAGGTAGAGTCCCATGTAATGACTGTGACTCAATGCAATACGTAGGTACATACCAAGTACATACATGCCAGGTAAGCAGATCAGTGTCGAGTTCCGAGGTAGATGTGCGGCGGACATCCTTCATTACCTACACAGATACTTATGACGTCGGTTAGATAGAATAGTACCTCGCGAGTTGAGGTTTCGCTCGCTCGCTACCTGTTGCGAGGTCCTTAAGCGCCTTGATATTTGAGTACCTCCTTAGGGAGCTGTTATCACTGTCATTCTAGATAGTCACTTACTGTATGTACTTACTCAATACAATGCCTCCTCACGTTACCACAGCCACCTCTGTCATACAAGCCCTCTTCCTCCTCCCTGGCGTTACACTGTTGAAGGGGATGCTTGTCCTTATCAGAAGTGCTCCAGGTCATGCGGAGTACTCGGCACAAGACTATGACTAGTACGAGTAGGTAATACCAAGCCCGTCCAGCCATGCGTCTGGCAGCGCTTGGGGGGCGGCTCAGTGAGACCCACATTTGCCACCTCAGGCAGACACCAAGGACACATTCCTCACTGCCCTTCTCTTTCCTCGGGAGCTTGCTGCTCGTTCACGGTTGAGACACAATGTCTGGCCTTTTATGAGCAGGCTGTCTGCTACGTAGCTATCTACTCGGTACCTATCACGCATTCATCATCAGTCCACAAGGCAGAAATTGTCAGTACATTTTTTTCATGTGTGCTTCCTACTTGCAGTGCTCGTAAGGCTGAGGATTAGATAAGCTTGATTTGTTAGTCATGCGGGACGCCCGCGATGGTGACAAAGGGGGACTCCAGCGGAGTGGTGGCACCCTGAAACGCAGAGGTTGCCAGATTTCCCAAGCCAGCCAGTCGCAGTGAGTGGCTATGCCTTTTTCCCTCTCTCCACACCTGGTATTTTTTGCTGTACCTACCATACTCATAGGCACCCGTTCCTCTTGCTTCCTGGTGGATCTGATGGCTCAGCCGGGCTGGCGAAGAGAGATAAATCCTCGTCTCCACGCCTAGGTGGCCACCAAAGCCAGGGCCATGCTGATGGACGGACGTCAGTCTGGGAGAAGACTCGATGACTCGCTCCACTGCGGCTCCAATGCCGTTTCACACGTTGCGAAGCAGGTCCACAACCGCGGTAAGCTTAACTATGAATTCTCCGATTGGGTACCTTATAGGCGGCATCTTTTAAGCTTACTATCCACACCCCAAAAGAAACAAGGAGCCTGGTTTGTGCCCGCCCTCAATGAGAGGACATGCTGCAGTGCATACTTAGGTAGGTAGGTAGATTCAAGAAGAATCCGTTACTGCTAGAAGCAAGCACTTCTTTCGGAGGAATCCTCTCAGCTGGGCGTGTGACATCTGTTGCAAAGCCAGGGGTGGCTCGACGAGCCATCCAGCGTGATAAGGGAAAAATCGAGGCTACCGTTTCCAGTGGTCCAGTTAGATGGTACAAGTGTGTGTGTCAAAGCGGGTATGACTAGCTGCAGTCAAGGCGAAGGAGCAGAAGGAATGCGTTGCTCATTCCGATTCCTATGACACAGTAGGTGAGCGACGTTTGCTCTTTAAAGCGGCGAGCATACACAATGGCTAACGATGCCCTTAGTGACTGGATAACACCGCTCATCTCTGCCATGCTGAGCTTATGTGTTCGTGAAAGTTGTAAGAGTCCGCTTCGGTGTTGCGTGTCTGCGGAATAATAGATGACGACGAAAGGGTTGTTCTAATACTTGTCAGTGGAAAGGTGCTACGCAGAAGCGGCGTGATACTCACGTGATTGAAGATGCAAACCAGCCTTGCAATGAAATTCACCTCCGCACTGCGCACTGCGTCCGGGCTCACATCCCCAATTCTTCGTCGACTTCCCGCAATCGTCTGTATCACACTGAGTTAAATGGGTCATTCGATAATTTCTGGGACAGGCTCAAGATAGGTTTGGACTGCGCATGAAATTTAGCCCATCATGACGACCACAACGCAAAACCATCCCAACTCGACGTATGTTTTCATCCCACGGCATTTGCCTTCCCTGTGTGAAAACATAGTCCCCCACGTCCGCGACCGACCAACTGACTGACATTTCTCTTTCTCTCAGGGTCTACGTCAAAAACCTCGAAGAGCGCATCAAGATCGACCAGATGAAGACGGCCCTCACGGAAATTTTCTCAGAGTACGGCAATATCATCGACCTGGTCGCCAAGTCGAACCTGAAAGCGAAGGGCCAGGCGTTCGTGGTCTTTGACAGCCCGGACTCGGCCGCAAAGGCCATTGAAGAAATCAATGGCTTCGAGCTGTTTGACAAGCCTATGCAGCTGGACTTTGCGCGCACGAGGTCGGACGCTACCGTGTTAAGAGAAGACGGTGAACAAGGGCTGGAGAAGTGGAAGAGGGCCAGGCTCGCGGAGAAGGAGAGGCGGCAGGCCCTGGAGGCGACGCAGCAGAAGGTGCTCAAGAGGCCCGCGGACGCGGCGGCTGCTCAGCCTACTGCAGGAGGACTGGCAACGCGGCCTGCGAAGACGGCGAAGGGCGTCGGCCTCAAAGCTTCCGGCACGAATGCTGCCGCCATCATCCCCGACGAATACCTTCCGCCCAACAAGATCCTGTTCATTCGGGATCTGCCGGATAGCTACGACGCAGATGGCCTGAGCCGGATATTCAGTCGCTTCGAAGGATTCAAAGAAGTTCGAATGGTGCCGGGGCGCAAGGGTATTGCGTTCGTGGAATATGAGGCCGAGGCTGGCGCGATCAGTGCAAAGGAGGCGACCGCCGGAATGCAATTGGGTGATGAAGGCAAGGGTATCAGGGTTACGTATCAACGAGCTTGAGTGGTGGATGGTAGAACGGGACGGGAAATGTTACGATATGGTTGACGCAAATGTGTGCAAATGTGTGCAACTGTGCTGGTGCTAGCAATTGTACTTGATACCCATGCATGAATAGCGGGTCATTGGTCGGCGTTGAGGATAAAAGCATACAACATCTCACAGGGGCTTCTCACGCCCTGGAGTCAAATCAGAAGATAATATCCTCATCCTCACGCTCGCCTAGCACGTCCTGCGGCTGCGCACCGTTCTCCTGTTCCGGTTTGCCTTTCCTTGCCTCCTTCTGTCGCTTCAGCTCGGCATCCGCAGCTGCTTGGTCGCGTTGTTTCTTTCCGGACACTTTCTTCAGTCTGTAGAACTCTTCCCGATCAAGTTCGTCAAGCTCGGAGTTGATGTCTAGATGGGGTGTCAGCAGCCTCGAGAGAAGAAGTTCCCTCCGCGGACTTACATTTTATGGTGTTTTCAGTTCGCGGGATGATGACATGTTCAATGGCGTTCACTGTGTATAGGTTAGCCTCTCAGCCTCTGGTACAGTCCAATCCGACGCACCTCTTCGGTTCACAACCTTGATGACTTCATCCAGAATCATGAATGCCGTCTGTAAGCTCGCGAGTTCAACCAGTGTCTCGACCGCGCGGGTATAGGTCTCTCGACACCTCTGCACCTGCTGACCTCCCTTGCCCAAACCCGTCAAGCCAAAATCATTGATCTCGTCCTTTGTATATCCTTCGAACTGGGGTAGAAAGACACCTGAGACATTCTCTTGCTTGGTCTTGATCCTGAATCGAGCTGTCTTAACGGACTCTTGGATTTGGTAGCCAATGTCTCCGCCGACTGCGTACGACACTTCGGCAAGGGAGAACGCGGCGATTTGCATGACTCGGCCCATTTTTCGTTTTGCTTCGTCAATTCTCTTTAAGATTTCTGTAGCCATTTAGCTTCGTGGAATTGCGAAGGGGGTGATCTTTCTGTTCAGACCTCGAAACCGCCTATTGAAAGGTTAGCATGCGACAAAGGCAGTAGCGGAGGAGGATGGTTTACTTTGTCAGAGCCTCGCTTTTCCTCTTCAACAAGCTGTGGCCGGTCTGGGCTCCCTTTAACTTCGCATTCATTTGACCCAACGCCTGCCGCGTGGGGAAGACGGCCTCTCTCTGGAGAAGGTAATCAGCAACAACGTATCTTTGTTTTCCCATTCAACTGGCTCACCCCTGCCCCTGAAGACATCCTGTCCGCGGCTTCTTTGTCGTCCCGATTGATATAAGGTGACCAAAGAAACGGCGAAATGTGTGAATCAGAGCAACGAAGCTCAATGCAGTGGCAACTTATCACCTGTAACACCCGCGACACCTGGTGAAGCTGCAAGGCTCGGGAGACATGACGATGCCAAGCAAGCATCGCTAAAACTTTGTCCCGCCTTGCGCTTGGCAATGGCAGTGGTGGTGTTGTTCCCTGATAGGGCCATTCCAACAGGACATAATAGTTCCGAAATCTCCTTAGTAGACAGAGATAGAAATATATCCCCATCGACCCATTTGCCTCGACGGAACACGCTCTGCCCGGGAGGACTGGGAAAAAATTGTAGAAGCTCTATTCCAAACTGCTTCAAATGGAGCGCGATAGAATCCCTGTTTGTAGAGAGACTTATATCTACTTGAGAGAGCCGGCCAGTGTTGGAAGTCAGGGTGATTAATTTGAAAAGCATTTTCGAGTTATGAAGAGTGTATTCTGCGATTGTGAAACCTATTCACGCGCAGTCGAATGTTGGGAAATTGTTGCTTCATTACTTCCATCAAAATCTATGCTACCGAGAGAGAGGTTACCTATAATTGGGTGTTAAATGGCTCGCTGGTCAGCCTCGCTGTGGTCAGCTTGTGGGCGTTTAGACCCCGGTCGCCGTCGAAAGGCTTTCTCTCATTTGTGACCCCCAAGTTGCTCCCCTTTCTCCCGTATCCGCTCCGTATTGTTTTCACAACACAATGACAATTATCGACATCCAAGCCATCACGATTTAGAGTTTGAAGTTTCGTGGTCAAGTCGCTTGTTGTTTGGCGTAGAGCGCTTCGACCGAGGCAGTGGCGATGACCTCGTGTGGCGGCGTGAATTGGACGCCGGTATTGATCAGAATGACCGGGGCTGCAAACCCGGCCAGTAGTTCCAGAGGGGACATTCAGAACTGTAAAATGTGCTGGGCTGTGTCGTGGCGATTGCAATCTATCAAAAAACCTTGAGACTCGAAGTGCACGGGAACTGACAGGGGGAGGGAGGAAACTTACTATGAAGGCCGTGAAGGCGACAAATCCTACACACATTATCGACCGAATGGTTTTCCAGTTGGGTGTTGAGATAGTCCCAGAGCATCGAGGATAGGTATGCTGCAGTCCAGAAAGGAGTAACAATCAAGAAAGGGTCCGTTTCAAATACAACGGTAGTTCTGGTAAACAAGGGGGTGTGACATTAGTAGTGCTGTATCGCTGTGTGTGTGTGTGTATGGAAGGGTCTGAATATCCATGATGGGAACAAACACGACGAAGGCAAACACCAGGATCCTTTCGATAAACATCAGAGTGAGCAGAATTGCTAACATGCGTTCATGCCCGGCCATCCCTCGAAAGAGCTTGCGTGGGATGCTGGTGCTGGTACCTTTCCACTCATAGACGAAGAAACAAATCAAGCCAGCGAGACCACAGACCATCGAGCCAGAATCCTGGCGTTCGTCCAGGGATAGAGTATACCGCCCAGGTCGACGCCGCCCAGGGACAACGTCAAGCCCGACGGGAAGGAGAGCACACCCGATCAATCAAGCCTGACGATTTCTGTAACAGAGAAAGGTAGTCGTACTTGGTGTGTCTGGTTGGAGGACGATAGCTAAGGATGATACAGGTTGGTGGCAACGTCCAAATGGCCATTTACACCCACCGAAATCAGTTAGCAGCAGCTTCTACAGAAGAAGGAGGAGTAGGAGGGGAGTTACATCGGGCGAGGGTGAGGCTGTAAGGGGGAACACACACGAAATAGGTACGCCAGCCAGTGCATGCGTTTCTTTTCGTCACAGCACCGATCATAGGTGAAATTCGCTGCACCGACCGAGCCAAAAAACTGGTAAGTGACTTGGGGAATTGTCACGGCTGAGGAAATCCATATGCGCGCCGCCGAATTGTTGAGGTCGGTGGATATTTGTATCAACTAGAACAAGACTGGTCAGCCCGTCAATTTCACTCGGCTATCAAGGCGATGAAGACGACAATGACCACTCACCGCGGCAGCCGCGGATTGAATGAAAAAGAGGACACTTGCTCAAGAGAATGAGCCCAATTTGTTCACCATTTCAGAATCGATCAAAGTTGATAGCACGGTATTGGTGGCCGAGTTCCAACTCACGCAAAGGCAGACAAACACAGGACCGCAATGGCAACATCCGTGCGCAAGTGTATTTCTGGCTTGTCATCTTCATTGACGTATACCTATTTTTTCTCATCATCTTTCCCGACCTGTTCATGATGAGACACGGCAACTTTCTTGACGTCCCCCTCCTCCGGCCCCGGAATCTCTATTGGTGGCACTGAGACCTTTGTAGGATATATCGTAGGCTGGAATTTGTCACCCGCTATCATTTTTTGTGTAGAGATATATTTAATGTGCTGACGACTATTGTGTTTGACAACTGCTCTCCGGACCAGTGGAAGACTCCTCAGTTCCAGGGGTTATGGGAGAGGGCTCCTTCCAAAGCGACTGAGAATGATTTCTATCAAAAGTCACAGCTTTTGCCCAGAGAGCGATGGGGCAATCTTGACCCCCAGTCCCCCGAGACCTCCAGAGCAACTCTGTCCTCAGCAAGAAATCCTCTCGTTTATTCGACCTTCGTGTCTCCCTCGGTAGAAATGCCAGAGTTCTAGGTTCGAACTAGAATCAAAGTACTTCGGTTGCAAAGGGGCCTCCTCTGCCCGCGGTCATGGTTTGATGATTGCAAACCACCGACATTCTTTTTTGTCCGGAGCTACGCTCTCATGTCTCCCCAGAAGAAAATTTCCCCGCCCGTTCCCGGAGTCCATCTGTAAGTCGTACTTCCGCGTCCCGTCGGCGCGACCGAAGTCGGTTCTCTCGAAGTGAGTAGTAGACTGTTTTCTGGAAGAACGTGGTTCAGAATGTGTGACGTCGGGGCCCCCGCGCTCGTTTCCTTCCCGGAAACCACTTGGCACAATGCTATGTTCAGGAGCGCTTTTGTTTTCTAGAAGCGAAAAATGGACCAGCCTCAAGAGAATTTGCGGAGTAATTGGTAGCAAACAGGCCCGCACTCAAAAGAGGCATCGAACAAAAGACCATGAAGAAGAGAGTTATATGACCCTCTGTTGGAACATTGGTAAACAGCCGTTGTTTTAGACTTTCAAATTGAGAACTAGATGGAAAATTAGACGGGGTCGCGGCCCTAAGAGGGTATAACTTAAGGTGGAGCGCGTGTCCAATGGTATTAGGTAGTCTTCGATCCAATAGCTAGAAGGATGTCTGTGCTAAGTTAAGACTACAACGTACGCTGTTCACATAGGCTTCGAAGATGCGCCTGTCTCCGTCTCTGTCGTCTGGTTTGAAAAGGAATCAACGGACGAGCAAGGCAACGTGGCGGCCCTTGCCGGACCTGTCGACAGATTTGCGGAACCAAGTCAGCTTCTCCGCATAACCCCTTGAAGATGTTTTATAATCAACATGGCCCATTTGTCCACGAGTTGAAGATGATCCGGACGCAAAACGATCCGATACCCAGCTTGGCATCTTCCCTCCCCTCCCCCTCCGCAATCCAAAACATTACCATAGCCAAGCAACTGTCAAAGCTCAAGCAAGCGAGCGCCTCGTGGCAATACCGATGGTGATGATCAGGCCGCCAAAATACCAAAGGTGGCGCAGAAGCGTGCCATCGCCTGTGAGGAATGCGTCAGACCGCTAGCCAGGTGGCTGGCGGCGGCGGTATGTGCCTGGGAATCATCATTGGCGAGTGTACCAAAAAAAAAACA